CACGCAGACTAAGTCCCCAAAATATCCTAATTAGAGATATTACGGATTGCAAAGGATATGTTCTTAACGAAGAGAGCTGTTCTCTTTCTGTTCAAGTGTATACCATCGTTATTAAGATGGTTTTCTGAAATGTTTGAATTATCGATGAAAGACCAAGAATATTGATGACACGACGAGCTCAACAAGTTGTTTACCTTTCTCACTTTGTTGTTGAGTGCGGAATCACGACGACAACTGAGGCTGGAAACGAAAACCTTGCGCTTTTTTAGCTGGGCCATCAGCCTCATTTGCTAATTCGATGATGTTGTTTGCTACTGAACAAGGATCACGATTAAGGTCGTTTCTTCCAAGATGGATTTCCACTTGATCTGGATCTTTCGCTAAACTTGGAACCCAAGCCCAAAATGATGGTTGATTTAGCTCCTACCCGCCGCTCGCCAACAGCTCAGGATTTATCGACCTGAGGGGACGCGGTGTTTGTAGGTGTTGGCCGAGTTTGGTCATCGTTTAATAGTTTTATGGCTGTAACAAGGCTATCCCGTTCATTTTCTAGGGTTTTTATTGTGTTAGATGCCCGTGCATTCGATAGACGTTCATATTCGAGTTGCTCTTTTAATTTCTTGACCTCATTTTGAAGAGCAATAATTTCTTGAAGTAGGCGTTCTCGACTAGGTTACGAGTCGTTGGTAATTTTCATATTTCCCTTCGAGGGAACAAGATGCTGAAGTTCATTACGTTGTTGCTCGACTTTCTGTAGATTGCTCTTAACCATGGAACAACCCTCGCATGTGGAAGGGCTTGGCAAAGTCGGGGTTACAGACTGCAGGTTCTGCTAAGAGTTCAAGGAGCAATTCACGACCATCCACCGCAGTTGACTCGTTTGAGGCCGCGATCTGACATTGCTGAGTGTCACAATTCGGCTGAAGAGCAAGCAGGTGATCCTTCGATGCAAAGAGGTTGCCTAGTTTTCTTACAAGACAGCTTAACAAGACCCTTGGGTTTGGACGGTATGAGTTGAAGAATACCACTTCACTGTGTATCACCCACCTTGAATGAAAACATTGTATCGGCTGGATCCTCTGAGATTTCGCCGTCTTCCGTAAACTCGAGTTATGTCTTGACCAGACAAATCAAATCTTTAAAATCCCCATACCACTTGAATTGATCCTTCGTGTTCAAGTAGTTGAGTCGACTAGCCAAAGATGCAATTGATGATGAATTCTCGTTTGCAAGAGCCGTTTTTAACGAATTGAAAACCGACTAAAATACAAAATAGCGGCGCGCGATAAAATACTTGTGAACTCTCTGAGAGTAGACAAGGGAAAAGCACCTGATCTCCAAAGATTACAGAAGAAATAAGTTATAACCGTCACTAGAGCACGTCATCCGATATCCATTTTCTGTAATCTAAATTGTTCTAAATCTAAGTTAAACGAATATTGCATGTTACATGTAGCGACCGTCGCGGAAGTAGTATGTATCAGGTAAATAGCGAATCTGCGATCATACCCTCCTTCCCTTATATTCAGACGTGACCTAGCTAAAGTTTTTGACACCATTGATCATAATATTAATCATTCCAATAATTTTCCCTAAAAATAAAAGTGGTAACTCGTACGGGAGACCGGGAGAGTTTTCACCGTCTGTAAGTGAACCGACGAGCGCGAAAGAAATAAAATAGTGCGAGAGATAGATGGCAGAGAGAACCTTAAACGAACCTCGTCAATCAAGGTTTAATCTGGCTACGGTAACTCAAAATACACAAGGTGAACGCGTATTTTATTATATAGCTGTACGTGTAGCATAAATTACAAAGTCGTTACAGAACATAAGCGTGCATGTAAAGAATGTTTGGCAAATTAGCATATTATACCCTGAAATTAAGATATATATCCACCAATTTGAATAATCAAATCTAGCCGGTGTCAGAAACTCGTTTGTCCGGTTTGGCTATGACGTCAGTGCTTTCTCATTGGCTCACAACCAAGCCTTTTGTTCTTTCGCTTTATAAGTGCGACACCACCCGGATGGTTGGGCGGCCAGTTAACTCCACCGCAATATACACATCTCTCTTAATAACTCTTAATATCTCTTAAACCAGTACCTCCTGGATATATAATCAACTATTATTCTTCCTCAGCCACCCTCCTAAATATTTCCCCAATATCCCCTCACAGCCTTCGTTTTAGTATTTCCCTACAAATACCTACACAGCCTACATCTCATTAATCCCCTAATCCTCACCATATACCTACACACCATTTATCTCATCGATCCCCCAAATATGCCTACGCAGCATACATCTCGTTAATTCCCCACATATACTTACACACCATACATCTCATTACTCCCCTACATATGCCACAGCCTACATCTCATTAATCCCCCACATATCATACAGCATTCATTTCATTAATTCCCCACATATACCTACACAATCTACATCTTATTTATCCCCCACGTATACCTACACAGCTTTCATCGTATTTATTTCCAACATATACCTACACAGCCCATATCTCATGAATCCCTCACATTAACCTTCACAGTTTGCATGACAAATTACAACTATTTCGAACTACGACCAATTATGAAAACTCTATTTTTCTATCACAACCGATCGAGTGACCGCACATTGTCAACAGCCCCGAGGGGCGGAAACCTCTCAAAGGAAGAAAGATGTTGAAAAAACTAAAATTTTATGCCCTATTGTAAAAATAATTATGATAAAACAGAACAGATAGACAGCTGGTTCGCGCTATCTTTCCCCTGCCCCGTGCTCAAATTCCATAGGACAGTTAATCGTGCTATGCCATTTCAACATTCAGAACGGATATTTTTGTTCCCTGATCAGAAACTGAAATCGCTCATGCAAATACTGTCAACAAAGATTCCCCTATACGTTGATCTGTGACAGTGCAGAACAGGTGTGAGAGGGGAAAACGTCAGTCTCTGAGGTGTAGTCTTGAGGGGAACATCAGACTCTTTCCCTTTCCTACTCTCCTCTAACTTACGCTATCGGTTACTCGTGACGTATCCTCATCCTTTTCCACTCCTTTTATTCCAATCAGTTGTGTACAAGAACCTTGCTTCCCCGCCTTCTTGAAGGGACTGTGTAATAATTGGTAGGGAGAAGGGAAGTAATAACCAGGCGTGGGGCGGCTGAGAATGTACCCTCCCGATCCATCTTCTCACCAAGCAACGGAAAAGACGGGTCAGAGGGTCTGGATTTGGGGTGTTGGATAATTATCTTAATTATTTTTCCATACATTTGTCTGTAATTTTTAGCTTCAGGGGCGTAGCTAGGGGGGTCCTGGGGTGCCAGTGAACCCCCCTTTTGTAAGCCTTTTTTAAACAAACAACGTACAACAGGTGGCGAAAACGACATGACAAGCTGGTGAGTACCTTCACTTTGACACAGTGTGATCCCCCCCCCCCTTTCCCCCTTCGAAAAATCCTGGCTACGCCCCTAAGCTTTAGTTTCCGTTTTGCTTTAATGTTTTTGGTTTTGCCTTAGGCCTTTTTTAGATCGGTTTTTTTTCAATTCAGCGTAGTAAAACCAAAACCAAAGTAGTTACTCTGACCAATCTCAAAGAACACGGACAATGCAGGAAACTAATAATAGCGGAGCTCCAGCGCGCGAAGTTCATGTGACACTGGTCAGCGGATACCTTGCTTTGACAGCTGTCAATTGACCATAACATGGATGTCCAATATCAAAGATGTACGCTGTAAACCGTGAAGGCTGCATGACTTGGTATTAGCTGGAGTATGGCCTGCATTTTGCGCAAAATCGTCGTAGGGCGCACGCACCGCGATCCATGCCGCTAGAGATGTTGACCATGAAAAAAAGAGAAGCAAGATTTTCTGTTTCTATTCATGTATGTGGAGAGGAAAAGAACGGCAGAAATCGAGCCTGACATATTAAGGATGAACAAAAACATGCCCTAGGATTTGAAAGAGGTTAACGCTCAGCAGCGACCGCTATTTGCATCCCTTTGAATTAACTAGCAACGCTTGCGAGAATTTTACTCTCAAACTAAACCCGGCTCACAGAGCCCATGCATTCGCAAGTTTGCGGTCCTGGCATACAGTTTGGAGCTGATTTCCTGACCATGAACGTGATTCCCAGTTTAGCTTTCATTGTCAGAGGAAGGAGGAAGATTTTACTTCTCTATACCAACGTGAACAAACTATTAACAAACGATAAAGCTATTTTAATTTCTGTATCCTTTCAATACTAGTTATTTAACTACAATGTTTAAAGGGTTCCGTAATTTCATGGTACAGAATATCAGATCTACAATTAATTCTCCGCACGAGCATTAATTTCAGGCTTAAGTTTAATCATATAAAATCTTCATAGAAGACGAAAACTTGATTATTAGTACAAACTTAATGCTCTTAACCCCTAATTGTCTAATGATTCCGAAGGAGGTCATCGTTGAGCGCGCCTCCTTTGAATTTTCACCCTGTAATGTGAGGTATTCTACTCNCCCCCCCCCCACCTCGAGGCTGCCTTCCTGACTTTTCATTCAAACGATAGGACAGACTGTTCAACATATTCAACAACAGTACTTGTCAACTGTGCCATCCTTGCCTCCAAGAAAAACGCTTAAAATTATTAAATACTTAAACAAATTCGAGTTAATCTCTTTAAAGTAATTATGCACACCCTTTGTATAAAATATACCTTTGAATTGGTTGATACTTTATCTAGATTATATACGCCTCTTGCATCTTTCAGTGATGCATGTAAAACGAATAAATAATTGAGGGTTGTTACTTTGAAATTGTTCTCGCTAACGAATCGACTTCACACAACTTTTCTTTTTTAAAACGCGTGAACGTAAAGTTTCCAATATTTAAATAAAACAGTTTTATTAGATTTTATCTGATTTCACAAAATAAAATACTGTTAAGTTCCAGTTTAGGATTTCTGTTGACAACAAAATACTTTTAGTTCCAGTCCCACCCCAATATTTACGAAATAATATAAATAACTTGACTTTTTTTGTCTTTATTCTTATTTTCACTGAGATTGCAAAAGACTTCGGACGCTTTAGTTTATAATTGTAACGATCTCTAAAAAATATAAGTCTGTTTTTTTATGCTATACTTTCCCTCCCCCCTTCCCCCAACATTCCAAATGCGTTAGGTTTGCTTAAATCAAATATTTCTTCATAAAGCAGTGAAAACAATTCTTACGATAGACGAGAGACAGAGAGGATGACCAAAGAAAGTGAAAATCTTAAAGCCTTCCCGAGCTATTTTTAGAATTCACGCGGTGAGCTCGAGCTAACAAGCTCACAAAGGGGGTGAGTTGAAGATGGTTGCGCGAAATCAAGTTCACGGAGGTCGATGGCGGGGAATAAAAGAGGACATAATGTAGAGCGATTAACTGAAATCAATTGCCCGTCTGGTAAAATATCTCCACTGGGATTCTCATTGAAATACGACAATGTATAAGGTATTCCCTTCTTTAGGTCATCCTGTCTTGAAGAATTCTTAACAGCTTTGACAAGCGTAGGGCTGTGATAATAGTTTGTTTACAATGCAATGCACAGTACTTTCGCCACTCGATTAATTCATATTATGTTTTGCTATTTTTAGAGACTTCAAGGAGCCTTCACTTTCTAGCTTTGGCCGAAGATAAATTGTACCCATTATATTATTACTCTTAGCTTTTGACGTGCTAGAAAATTGGAAACAAATTTTCAAAATACGCAGCAACGTACGATGCATAGCAGTGTAAGGTTTACAAACACAATCGAATAGCAAGTAGCTTCTATAATTCACTATTATCTATTGGAGATGCTTTCCTCACTTTCCCAGTAAGAATACTGGTAAAAAAAAATAATTGATAAACACAAGCGCGCCCTAAACTTTAGATTTGCTTAGTTGTAGGAAATGGTTCTAAGGTTAGGCTCCAGTCTTCGCGTTTCTTGATCTCAGAGTACCGTTATTTCGTTTTCTGAAGACGCATCAGTGAAGCTACACCACCGTCTCTCGTTCGCAAGATTGTACATCTGTCATGCTTACTTTTGGCCATGTTTTCAGTGAGTCGTGGCCATTTGAAAATTCCGACAAACTGTCCGCGTATTCGTTTACTTCTTCCAGGATCCCTTCAAACAACTGACTGTAAATGTCTGGCGGTGGAGGGCATTTGGCGTTGAAAGCTTTGTTTCGCTCGATTGTTTCTTGAACATCTGTAACAGACTTAATGTCGAAGTCATTTTCGTCTTTACCGCATGCGCATTGTGACTGATCGTTAAGCTGGCTGTCTACGAGTTCACTGTAGTAATCTGTAGATCCCGGATCTATGATAAGAGGTCCTTCTTTCAGGGAGTGCGCATGCTCCCCACATTTACTTCCAAAGCTAACGAACGCATTTTTAGCTCCCTTTACATTAAGCGTCCCGTCACAGCTGCAGTGGCTCGCCTGTTCCGTGAAATCTGACTTGAGGTTATCTTGAGAGAAGGAATTGTTTATGGAATATTTATCTTTACTAATTTCCACTTGATCTCCCATACCGCACGGAGTTACTTCCTCGGCATAGCCGCTGTCTTCAGTGCCAGCCTCCGAACACTGTGTTTTCCACGACAGATCGCTTCCAGTTGAATTCCAAGAGTATCCACTCAACCGGTTTTCATCGAGGTCCGATTTAGAGGAAACAAACTCCTTGGTGTCCGTGGCACTTACCACAGATTCTTCAGATGTAAATCCGCTCTCAGTAGACATGGAGATAGTTATGCTGGGCACGTTATCTTCAGTGTCATTCAATTTGGGATCTGGTACCACATCAACAGCTTTTACGAGGGTAGCGGACTCTTCAGTGGAATCGCACGACAGCTGTGGTGTAGTAACTAACTCAAGTTCAGCCGGTCGCGTTCCTATTGTTACGTCAAGACACTCAGACGACATAGTTGCATCTGAAGTCTCAGCCTCTGCAACAGGCTCTAACCTGGCGCAACTGTTCGCGCGACTCTCGACTCGTATTTCCGAAAGCCTTGCTAAAGACGTATAGCTGGCTTCTCTGCTGTTGGAATACCGTTCATTTGACAATGACAGATCTCTGTAGCTTCCCTCCGGGACAATAGAGAATAAGATAAAGCTGCTCGGCCGGGAGCCTACATTCGGCGTTCTGTCTAACAACAGGCGGCTTCGGTCAACCTCGAATTCGTCAGCGAAGCTCTTAAACGAAACATAAGAAGTTCTTACTAGGGCTCTCTCGTTTTCAACAAAGTTCTCTTGATCGTCGTCAAGATTTTCCGGCACGGAGACAGCGATCTCGGGCATAAAGACTTTGACCAAGGTCTGCCTAGGGGGAAGAAGATTCGGGATGAGAAACATGACGCAGCTTCCGCAAATGACGAGTCCGCTGGACAGGAAAAAGACGATATTGTAGTTGCCTGTGTAGTCGAAAAGCAGACCTGCAAGATAGAAAAAGACATGAAGCAAAATGATGATCCTTGGCTAAGATATGAGCCTCGTCATTCCAATCGGATACAGGCTGGCACATGGTTGCCAGGGAAGCAAAACAGAAACACCAGACGGCATCTCTTTGATCAACACGGACATTCCGTGCTCTCAACAGAGCAGGACCTGGGAACGATAAAATGGGAAATTTGGTTTTAATTGGGCAGAACATGAAAAAAAAAAGAACGCGTGTGAGAAAATGTGTACGATATACATTTCGCGCGCAATCACTGACACAAAATGTAGATACACTTTTACTGGTCACGAATACAGTAAAAACCCGCATAAAAGAACAAGTGGATTAAGAACACTCAGGCTGAAATTTGGTCAAAAAAGTACCATATACATAAGAACATATTAAGCCTGAAAGATGAAAATTGTTCTTCTGTAAAAAAAAAACAACAAAATTGGCTGCCAGTTAGATTAGAATAACCTACTAGGACTACAGTAAGCACAGTACTAAGTAGATCAATATATGTGTTATCCATTAATTAATTAAACTGTTGTGCTTGCACATTGATTTCATCTGTTGGTAGTCTATGAACACCTTAAGAACATTTTCAGGCTGATTTTGCAGAAAACACCTGATATATAAGAACAAAATCAGCCTGAAACTCCAAAACACGTGTTCTTTTATGCGGGTTTTTACTGCATCACGTAACAGGAAGAAGCAACGTAATTTAAGTATACATAACGTGGCATAAAACAACCACCAACGAAACCATGAAAACGTTTTGATATGTACCTGCCATAGGAGGTCCCAATGTCATAGGGATCGCCACGATGCCATACAAGGTCCCAACAGCTCTCGCCATCATTTGCCGGCCCACAATGTCATAGGTGACAAGACCGATCATCACAGAAAGGCACCCATCAAAAAGGCCTGACACCAACGAGTACGTGAGAAGGGCCGAGTGAGAACGTGCTAAGGGGCACAGACAGGCTGCTATAGCGATGACCAACAGAGCTATCTGGGTAAGGGTCAAGCGACTGATCCGTGATGAGTCACCTAGCTTGCCAAAGAAGATCTTGCCCACTGTTTGGGCCAAGGCCAAGTAGCCAACCAATAGAGCCCCTTGTGTTGAGGGTATCCCTACGCCCTCTGCCAGACGGACCTGCAGAAAATGAACCATGATAAAAATCAGAATGAATGAACTTTTTGGCAATATTGTTCCCAGAGAAAAAGATAGTTATGTATTTAGCTCCCTCTTATCTTCCTAGAGATTTAGGTCTGACATAAAGTTAATAAATTGGTAATAACTTACCAAGAGCATGTAAGGGATGTAGTAAGCAATAAAAATCATAGCCAAGGCGACTGTCCATGCGACAAATGCCTTATTCCCCCACACAGGAGAAGGCTTAATCAGTCCTTTAATGATGGAAATTAATTTGTCTTTTTTCTTTATCTGCAACTGTTCTTCCATCAGTTTCTTCTTTTCGAAAAGTTCTTCGTCTCCTTCTCTAAAATCCATCGGAAGGAATGTAAGTCCAGCTAAGAAAAGCAGTACAGACAGAGCTGCCATGGCTTGAAATGTGACTCTCAAACCGTACGTGGAGATTAACTTGTCCACTGTCAAACTGACAGACATGGTTCCCGCTCCGGCGCCGGCCGCGGCAATTCCATTGGCTAAAGCGAGGTGCTTGTTAAAATACACAATAAGGATGTAGAAAGATGAAAAGTAACAGCAACTGGAAGCAAAACCAAACATGACGCCATAGGTAAGGTACATGAGTGACATATGTGGGACAAGTGACGTCAGAAGCATTGCTGCCATATACGTCGCGCTGCCAAGGCACATGACCATCCGGCATCCCCAGCGGTCGCACAAGCTTGTGGTGATTGGTGCTGCCATATATGTGATACCCATCGCTAAGGAGCCTATCCATGCTGTTGAAAAAAATACTGGTTATTGATTTATGTCGACTAGAACTCGATTTGCATAATGAGCTTTTATTAAATTTGCAAACTGGTCCACGATGGAAAGGATAATTTTCATTCCGTTGAGATCGTTAGATCGTTAGATGCACTGCCTCAGAATTATAGACATCATACAAAACAAAACAGTCCACTGCACGTCCGAATCGAATCTAAACGTCCTTACGCAACCGAAAACATTTCAGTTCTCTCGCGCGAGACGCCAAACCGAACGGGAGCGATAAGGCCAACTCTATGATGGGATCTCATCATAACTCTGAAAGATCTTGAGCTACGAGACTAATATATACCTGTTTTCATTTGCAAACAAAAACGCACGATAATTTTACCATTTATATTCGCTTTTGATTGTTGCTGTCGACTTTTAATGAGCTGCCTTTAAAACGGTGAATAAATTGCATTTTAGTCAAAACGCTAATTTTGTTTTCGTTCGAAAGTTGTTTACGTTTTGTTGTTTTTAATCTCAGGGTCTTAAGGAAGGCTGGGCGGTGACTGCATTTAAATTTACTGCTTTCAACGGCATGATAATTGGGTCATTTGAAATTGGTAACAACAGTTGGTTTAGAGTATCGCCAAATTTAAAGGAGATGCAATACTTTGATCATGTCCTAGGGTTGATGTACTTATAGACTTGGACGGCTAATGGGCCGCTAACAAAATAAATGTATAAAAAGTTAGACAAAGTCCTTGTTATTTTATTTGCCTTAATGGTTTATAATTTGTGGGTTCCAAGTTAATTCGTTCATACTTAGTAACTCCTTATGACGTATCAGACGTTTGATACATTGACACGACGAGACACGAAAAAACGTAATTAGAAAAATATCGCGATTTTAAATTAAACGCTAGCCTAACACAAACCATATACTTGATGTGTCGTTAAAAAACGGCATCGACTTTTCTGCGATGCACGCTTCTGCGGTTTTCGACTTGCTGTGTTTATGTTGTTACGGACTTTGCTTCTCTCATAGGTGTGAACAGCTGCTGTTATAGGGGTTTCCTCTGAATATTTGTAAATAATGCCTGCGAAACCTTTGAATGTTTTCTCTCAAAAGCTCTCCCGAAAATACTGACACGTAGGTTTGGTCGTAGCTTATAATTTCACCGAGCCATCATCGATATGTGCGCTTTTTGCTGCGGTTGTAAGAACGTTATAAAACCTACCAACAAATAAATTACACTCATTTTTTTAATGAATATTGTTTTTCCGGCCAAGGCTGAATATATTCTAATTTTTCTTCCGATTTTAGGCTGAAAATATTTTTGTGAATATCCTTTAGAATATAGCGTATGACATTTCTGTTTTCCAATGTATTCGTCTGGATGGTGTTTAAGTAATTCTGGAGCCAGCCTGCGGGCATTTTTAGGCCTTATATGACGCACATAACTTCTTGCAGAAATGTTATTTAATAGCATCGAACGGCTAAAGCTGTTTTTGACAAGTTTTGCCGTGAATTCTACATGGTTTAGTTAAAAACACATAATTGTATCGTATTTAACTTATGCTATTTGGCGCATAAAAGCCTGAGACGCCATCGGCTAATTCATATGTCATTATAATGCAAATCATCTTTTTTGAGATTATTTATCTCTGGGAAAACCCTGTTTGGCGAGTCTTTCAGACAGTTTATGCTTGTTTTGCTTCCGGTGACCGACCTCGTCAAAAACAAGGACACACAAGAAGCGATCGAGCTATCGACTGGCTTTTTGAAGCGTCATCTTACATCGAGAAAATTTTCCTCATTTCATTCTCAGAGATTATACATAAGGTTGTTTTTCTTTCGTCGAGATCTAACCAATATCCTGCGACATGCGAACTTAAGCCTGCGGATCACCAAGTCCCTGTGACATGATATTTTCGTTTCTAGAGTGCTGATGACCTCAAACTTGTGTTTACTTGCTGATGGAAAACCTAGCTATTTTGCGTTGTAAACTTGCTGTTGCACGAATGACCCCTACTGATAAGAAAACCTAGCGCACACGAGCCTTAAAATCACTCCCGTTAAGTAATCAGTGTCAAACTTTTTAGTAAGCTAACAAGGGTAATGAATTAAGTACAGTGTGTCGAACTGTTTACTTTCTCACGCATCGTTGGGCGAAACAGAATATAAAAGCAATAATGCAAGCGGAGATTTTTCCTGCTATACTTGTTGAAGATAGACTGTAACAAGGAAAATACCGTGTCCCTGAATAAACACGAAAGCTTACTAGTATAGCAGGGTGCGGTCACATGACCAGGGTTTTCCTTTGAGAGTCACTCATCCGTGAATCGAACGAGTTAGATCATCAACTTAAGCGACGAAAATAGAATTTAAGCAGAATTTTTCCTGTTAAACCGCTTGTGAGTGAAACTGCCGAGAGGAATTGTGATGGTGCAGAATTTTAGAGAAGCTAAATTTTCTCACAGCATTGTAAATCTGGTCGCAGTTTAGATAAGCCCTCTTCTGTCCATCGGATTTGTCAACAGACCTTGTTATATAACATACCCGGTATTTGCATTAAAAAAAATTTCCAGCGGTAAAAAGCAGCTACAGAATGTCCCTCGCTTTGATTCGTTTCAATTTTCTACGCTCCGCTCGAAAATGACTTAAACAAAAGCAGACTGAAAATTACTTTTAGCCACAAAATTTGCGAGAGTTTTTTCCTGATAACCTGTTAACGCAATAAATTTTTTATTGGCAAGCCAGCCAGTTTGTGGGAAAAATAATGCGATATTTTCTTACCTGTCTCGGCTTCACTTCGCTGAAACTCTTGTAGTAATGCCACAAAAAATGAACCAAACGAATTGTGAGTTCCAAGAATTAAGAACTGAACGATGAAAGAAGAAAGACATACGACCCATGACCAGCACGAATCTACTCGGCGTTCCATCTGAACCCGAAGCGTTTTCGCTTCCATCCCTTCAAGATCAGCTGTGCTCTTTGTTGACACATACAGGGGAAACTGCTATCTCACAGAAAGCAAATTTTCGACCATTTTCCGCCGATTTGCCATGATTTTTGGCCAAACCTCCATCGAAACTTTCCCTGCGATCCTCACAGCGAAGTTTACCGGCAAGGAAATGTTGTTTGAGGGTTTTGATCAAACATTTTCCTGCAACCATGCAAGTCGTTCGAGTTTAGGTGACGGGTCATGACCGGTTTTGCAAGTTTCGCTGGAGTGAGAAATTTTGTGTTGCGAATGTACAGAGGCATTAAAAAGTTCTATTTATTCCAAGCCTCTGTCGAGATTTTAAACATATAAACGCTATATTCTAGCACTGAATAGAATGTTAGTCCGAAAAATTTTCCTCCGGTCGTCCGTCATTCTTGGTCGGCAAGTGAAAAAAAAATTGTTTTGTTTCTTTATGCTAATGAGATAGTAATTTATACTGTGAAGAACTTATAAATAAACGTCACACTACCGAGGTCTTTCTCATGCTAATTTGCGACAAGAAAACCAAACTTAATCGATTGTTTATCACGCAAGACAAGCCTCGACTTGCTTCACTGAAAATTTTGCTTCTGATCTGTGCAATTTTCGCTGCACACTTCATCTAAATAGATGCAATCAATCCACTCACAATAATATGACCAGTGTACGGTGACAATAGGAAACAAATTTGTACAAAAAAAGAATTCTGCTAGGAATTCGACGATTCTCTGAAATAGCATTTCACCGATGAAAATAGTTATGTTAACAAACCGAAAACCCAATCATGTGCTGCATGCAACAGAAAATAATTTGATTATATTGCAGTACAATTTTTCACTGTGGACGTGACAATTCAAGCGGACTTATTTTCTTTTGTTTGCCGTTAACTTGTTGAAGTCCTAAATGTATACATTTTGAGAAAGGAATAACGCATATTTTATAAAATCATATGTTCAGGAAAAGCCAAAAATGTCACAGAATTGAAGCGGCCAACGCCGTATTCATTCGCTCGCCACATTTTCACTTTGCAAACGGGCACGGCGGAAACCGCATCCTCGAGAACAAATAGACCTCCTTGAATTCAATGTCTCGGTGCAGCGATCCATCTACTCTCATCTCATTTCGCTTGAACAGGCATGAACTGTGCCAGCGAAAAGATAGCTTTCCAGATACATATTTCTTTTTACTCCAGTCCGCGAAATTTCTGGAAGGCGAAATATTGGCTGACCCTGACATTCTGCGGCCCTAAGTGGCTCTAAATAAATTAGAAGAGCTTTAGAAATCAGTAAAAACCCGTGATGAATTGTGCTTCAAAGAAGTTTTGGAATACATGCTAGCGGAAACCAAAAGCTGAAACACTACGAAAACTGAACGTAATAAACTGGCAAATGGACAAAGGCTGATCAAGTCAAAGCGAAACATGAAGTATAGTCTTGAGTGTTTTTTTCACGTTGTATTCACGTGCAAGAGAAAGGGCTGTTGAACCGGTTTGGTAGTCATCTTGATCAAATTTGCATATCATTCTGCGAACCTGACCTTTGGTTGAAGTCAGGTTAGATATAATTATATAATGCAGCAAACGTGTTTTTCATTCTGGAAATTTACTTTCATCCGCCTAGTCTGAAACTAAAACCGCACTTATTCAGTAAATGACAAACCAGGGCAAACTTCGGCACGAAAAATACGAGCTATTACCGGGGGGAAGGCCCTACGCTTTGAAATGTCGCAAGAATATAATATCACTTAACACATTCACACAAAACAGTCACGGCTATTTTGAACTCAGATTAACACGCCTGTACATTATTCCCTTTTCATTTAATCATACTTTTAATGCAAACGCCTTTTTACGCTCGAGGGCAGTTTGCTGAACATTCTATATAATAATGTTTTGTGTTCACACTGAGTCACAACTGAGGCTCTACAAAGCCAAATAAACATACCTTATAAATTATAGCAAAGTATGTTGCATTTGTCCTTTACCTATGTAGTTTTAGCGTTAGGTTTATAGTTTTAACCAAAGGGGAAATCGACTACGAATTAGTTTAACTACGAATTGTTAGCGCGGGTGCGTCGGAACGGAACGGAACAGAACACTCAAGTAACGAACCAACCCAGACGAAGCATCTCTGCCCAAAGAAGGCTCCAGAACCGTTTGTCTTGACCACAAAAATACTGTTATTTACCATGGAGCACATTTCCGGCGATCCGTCCGATATCAGCAACTTTGTGTGCTCTCTGGTATCATAGAGACCTTTGAAAGAAACGACAAATAATGTATGTTTGTGCCACGTGCTTCGTGACACTTTCACCCAGTCGACCGATACTCGACCGATACTCGGCCGATAGTGTCGACCGATACTAAGCCGACAGGTACCTTATTGACACATGAATAATACCTTATTGAGATATCAAATATAAAACAGAAAATACATAGCTTTTAAGACAAATAAGATCAGTCAGTTTAAAAAGAAATGGGAAGTGTTTGAGGTACTTTAATTTAAATTTAATTAAAAGTAAATAATTATCAATAACTTTATAAGCAGTATTTCTTTCTTTTTTTTTCACATATTTTCAACTAGTTATTACGTTATATGTTGCAAAAGAAATTAATGTCCAACGCAAAAAGGTTGTTTATCATAAAAAAAAGGAAAAAAAAAAAACTTTTGCCTTTAACATTGTTATAAACTCAGACCTAAGAAAATTGTAAGTAATGACATGTAATATATGTTTGAGTCATGTAAAAAAAAAAAAATTATTGACATATGATCCAAATTATCTAGGGGTAATGGAATTTTAGAAAGGAGTACTTCTTTATCAGTGAGCTCTAAACAAGAACGACAACTAACTGTGGTGCACTTGTGCTATCGGCGGCGAATGTCCAGTGTACATCGTGTACGCATTGCGTGCCTATACCGATACCAAGCCCCATGGTAAAACAGCGTAGGAGAAAAGCAAATCAGATTTTCTAAGCTTCACTAACTCCACTGTTTTCTATTCTGCGCCAAAAGTAAATCCAACCAGGTAGTTGGTCCTAACGCGAAGGGCTGGAAGTGCTAGATATCTCCCGCGGAATTCCGCATGTAAGTCCGGGAAACCTTGAAGGCTTGGCGTCTAAGCATCTTGCTCGCATGTTATGTCACTGCATTGGAAGAAGTGAAGGATCAATTCGTACGTCTTGGTTGGAATTATCTGTACAAACGTCGTAAAAAGGAAACTTACAATCAACCATGTTAAGAAGACTGCTGGTTAAACCACGTCTGACTTCATCGTCATGCCGAATTTTGATTACAAATGGCTTGAAAACGACAGCAACTGACGAAACCAATTCTAATGTTGCACCCGTATCTACTGCAGGTTTGTTTTCTTTTTTGAGCGTATGATCATCAACTATGTTGCACAACTATAATTTCATATGTGTTCAAATGAAAATGTCCTTCTGAAATGATGAGCTGTATTTTATGGCTCAAAGTTTAAGTTTTAATCTTTGTTGTCGCAAGTTGATTTAATTCTTGCATCATTCTTCCTAAGCTTACATGTGGCTCTTTTGTATTTTTCTTGAACTCAGTCCATCAGATACTGTATGTTGATCGAAGATTTACCATTTGATTCAAAGGATCATGTGTGCTAAAGGCTTTCGCAGTCGAATGTCTACCCTCAACTGATACCCTCGATCGATACTTGATTTACATCTCAGTCGACAGTTGGTCTAGAGTCTAATTTTTGTAGACATACCATTGAGTTTGGAGCAATACATATGAGTCGGTCAATACTCAACCAACTATTGACCAACTGTCAATCAGGTGTTGATTAAGAGGATGATCACGTGTTGGCCAAGTACTGATCGAGATGTCAATTATCAAGTGTCAATCAAGATGTCAACTGAGTGTTGATCGAGGTTGATCAAGGGTTTCAATTGACATTGGACCGTGGATGTCTTTAGTACACATGATCCTATTTAAAGCTCTGGAAAGTCGTAAACATCAGCCTAGTAATTTAGCAATGATGTAAAACAGTGCCTACAGTATGTAAACTACAGATTTGGAACATTCCATTTTTTATCCTCACCCTTCCCCCCATGGAGGGCAACCTCTGACACAGGGCCTGTCAGGAAATTTTTTTCAAAGGAGGTGATGAAATTTTAAACCCCTTGGAGGCAAACTTCAAAGGTGTTGATAACAAAAATCTAGGCTGTTGGAATCTGCCCTCTATGAGGGGTGTGGATAAAAAAAAATGGAATGTTCCATTATAGTGCCCCTTACTAATGTTTGAACCTGACTGGATAGAAATGGGACAAGCACAAGTAATCTGTCTTTGCATGCTTGAGTTTTGTCCACTTAAGGTCTACATCTAACATTTGACATGAAAAATTTGATGCATATGACTTGTGAGCTCTACAGGTAAACAGTATTCATTTGATGGTTTGCAACCCCACCTGAGAGTTTTAAATGAAAAAGGCCCAGCAGCAATGTTGGATGGCACAAAGTAAGCAATCATCCAATATGGCAGTTATGGCATCATGTGAAAACCAAGTTCTAATTTCCTCTGATTGGTTACATGTAATTACACAACTGCATAAAATTTGACATCCAATTGGGCATGCTATATACATGTAGATCCCTGAAGAGGTATGTCTTCAACATGGTAGATTTCAGGTCTATACACTGTACAATGTAGCTGTGAGAACATTTGATCACAAAGTATCTACTACACGTAACTCTTGCAGAGGTTGTAAAATCTTAATACTTTCCTTGTCTCTAAATACTATTTATTAGAAGATGAACCATTAGAGTTAAGACCACTCTATCTTGATGCCCAAGCAACTACTCCTTTGGTAAGAAAAAGTTTTTTTTTGGATTTGCTCAGCATGGAAAACACATTTTGTCACCACTTTCTGCCATTTTAATTAGAGTTCCACCCTCCCTNAACATTTGATCACAAAGTATCTACTACATGTAACTCTTGCAGAGTTTGTAAAATCTTAATACTTTCCTTGTCTCTAAATACTATTTATTAGAAGATGAACCATTAGAGTTAAGACCTCTCTATCTTGATGCCCAAGCAACTACTCCTTTGGTAAGAAAAAGGTTTTTTTGTTGGATTTGCTCAGCATGGAAAACACATTTTGTCATCACTTTCTGCCATTTCAATTAGAGTTCAACCCCCCTCTCCCTTCCCCTGGTACTATGATGTGTGTGAGTTTGCACAAAATTACACAAGTTTGCTGTCCACTGCCACTACATGCTAACAGATTAGCACTACATACCAAAAGATTAGCACTACATGCTAACAGACATGCTAATGGATTAGCACTACATGCTAACAGATTAGCACTTCATGCTAACAGGCATGCTAACGGATTAGCACTACATGCTAATAGGCATGCTAACGGATTAGCACTTCATGCTAACAGGCATGCCAACGGATTAGCACTTCATGCTAACAGGCATGCTAAAGGATTAGCACTTCATGCTAACAGGCATGCTAACGGATTAGCACTTCATGCTAACAGGCATGCTAACGGATTAGCACTACATGCTAACAGACATGCTAACAGTTTAGCACTACATGCTAACAGGCATGCTAACGGATTAGCACTTCATGCTAACAGGCATGCTAACGGATAAGCACTACATGCTAACAGGCATGCTAACGGATTAGCACTTCATGCTAACAGGCATGCTAACGGATTAACACTTCATGCTAACAGGCATGCTAACGGATTAGCACTACATGCTAACAGGCATGCTAA